TCTACTCCGGCAGCCGAGGGGCCCTGAGGGCTGCACAAGCCCTCAAGTCATCCTCTAAAGTGCGACAGCTTTCTGCCTGGTTCTTTCAGGGACTCATCCTATTTATCTTCCTGTCCTGTGTCCTGTTCACCTGGGTGGCCACCCTTAACTGTCTTTAGCAGAGGGGTCAGAGCAGCTTTAATGAGTTCGAAGACTAATTAAGTGCTGAGTAAATAGTAATGACGTTGTTGTTGAGAAGACAAAAGTTGGACTGAGGAAGCTTTAGTTCTTTCCAACATCATATTTTACTGTTTCCAAGGGTATTAGTTTTAAAGGCTCTGGACTATTGCCATTGTTATCTTGCCCTAAAAATACAAATTTTATATAAATATAAAATTGGTTCATGGTAAGGAAGAACACTTAACTAAAATGTAGAGAAAAAATTTTTAATGGGGATTAGTGAGAGAATTCCTGGGTATTTTCAATGACCACTTTGGAAAAGTAGAGACAACAGAACTGAATTGTGTACTGATCAGATCTAGGGCTGAATCTAATATTTTGGAAGGCATAAATTGTGTTTCCCCCCAAAGAGATTCAATTATTTTTCAGATTCAATCATTCTTTTTTTCCATGAAATTCAGCTTAATACATAGCATGGCTACATCCCCCTATATTTTGTAAGAGAAATGAAATAAGGTTGTAGTTATATCAACTCAACGTAAAACATGCGACATGCTCTTCGAAAGGAATGTTGAAGCTTCACGAGAGACACATAGAAGAGGAAGCCATGGTGTGAGGGGATGAGAGTGAGTCAGGACATGAAATCAAATCAGTTCTGCGTTTGCAACAGGTCCTGGAATCAAACTTTCTGGCTCTGCTTGCTGAGAAACTGTTCCTGTAAGGGCATCCAACCTTACAATCCTAACTGGCTAAGAAATTGGTCAATGACTTGTAGGTCACATCAAAGTGATCGCATCTTTAGAGAAATATAGCCCCAAATTTTTGCGCTGCATGCAGCCCAAAACTCCATGGTCATGTCACAGGGGGGCTCGGACTCTCCCTGGGAGTGAAACTCAGCAGAGAAGTGGCATCTGCCTTTCTCAACCACGGCAAGCTCCTGGGAAAAAGAGGAAAGGTGAACCCTGAGTCCCTAATCTCCGCTCTGTTCTGTGCTCATCTGGGCTAGTGGCCACAGGCAGGTAGCCAGCTGAGCGGAGGCCCTCTTCTCAAGATGGGTCCAAGAGACAAGAGCACTGGGGAGGGGCCCCCTCTCCATCCCAGCAACCAGGCCCATCCTGCAGGTTCATCCTCATAACAACACCTCACATGCTGGTCAGCTTCAGGGTTTCCTAGGGAAGGCCAACATCCAGGAGGTCTAAGAGGACAAACAGCTCTGGGACAAAACATCTGCCCCAATATGATGAAAAGAAAAACCAAAGTAGAAAAATAAAAACAAAAAGCTCAGAGAGCGTTCCCCCTCGGTCAGGTGCACCAGCCAATCGGAAAGCCTTGGCTACACCCTGGGGGAGCACGGGAGGTGCTGGATCAACCCTTCCACAGGCTTGGACTCAGCTGGACAATTGGAACATTCTACTTGATGAGACCCTGTTGACACCAGCTGGAAAAGCAACAGAACTGAGCTGTGGGAACCTGAGCATCAATAAAGATGCCCTTGCTGTGTCCCAACTGGCCACGTATTTCAGGTGTTAGCAGGACATTTGCTGTGTGTAGACCTGGCCACCAGCACCAAACAGGAAAGCAGGCATTTAATTTCTCAGAGGATTCTCAAGTGGCTTCCAGGTCATAAATTTCTAGGTTATGGGATGGATTCTGTTTAGTTCCCTGCAATAGCTGGACTATTACTGTCTTTGGCCAAATGAGTTACAGCTCAAATATGTTGGCTATTTATTATCCACTTGCCTTAGCGCAACCATTAAACAATTGAATAAAAAACAGTGTTGTTTCAGGGCGGGGCCCAAAAGGCAAAACTTCGTATTGATTTTGCAAATTATTTTTTTCGTATTCCTTTAACCTGTTGCGAAAAGCTAAAGTTTATCACCCTTCAAATGAAAATCAAAGTAACTTCCCCTATCTTAAATTTCTGTGGACTGTGCCATTACTAATAAATTAAACCTGTCACAGATAAACATTTACATACATGCAGTGCTGTATTTGTTGTAGTAACTGCATCACTGGATGAAATGTGTTTGGCTAAATAAAAAGAATATATGGCTGTTTTGCATAAGATTGGAATGGAAATGATACCAAAGGATATTATTTTATGTCAACAACAAAAACAGGCAAAATATCTCTTTGGCTGGATTGAAGAGGAAAATTAATTACGACTGTGCAATTGTTCCCACTGACATTATGCATCTCTGTAAGAATCTGGTTCTCTCTAGACAAGAAGGCTGGGCCAACACTCTTGGCCAACACAGACACATAACCTGCAGGAGGAGTGCATACCCTGGGACCATGGGGACTGGCCAGGACACTGTCTCAAGCAGTCTCTTTTTCTGAGGTTCCTGGCCCAAATCTGCCCACCTTTGTGAGGGCAGCCCCTGGCTTGGCATCCTTTTTCTACTCCTCGCCTTCAGTCCCCCCCCCAACCCTCCCCCAACCACACATGCTTTTCCCAGGCCCTCCCAGGGGGGGCTTCTTGCACTGAGGTTCCCCCATTGTAGCAAGACCAGGAGTGATCAGGCGCAAGGTTTCTGACATTTGGTTACCAGTTTCTTGAAGTCACTAATAGGGGAGCGATAAAGGGCAAATACTGAGGATAATCTACATTAGACCTCCACGAGCCTTTCAAAAGTTTCATTTAAAAAACTACATAAGAAATAGATTTATTATCATGAAAAAGAGCAAGAGAAAAATAGGCAAAAAAATATGGACAAGCCATCCACAAAAGAGAGATGCAAAAGGCAAAAGGCTCAACTCAACCTTCCAAATATTCAGGGAAAAGTCAGTTAAAAGCACAAGGAAACGCTATTTCACCCCCTTCAGACAGGCAAAAAGGGAAGTGCTGCTTTGGGCTGGAGCAACTGAGTGCGCACGCAGGGTGGAGAGAGTGTGGATGGGCCCGTCTTTGGAGAAGAGTTCGCCAGGGAAGATGTGCACACCTGACGTCCCTGCAAGTTCCACTCCAGGCCTCATACCTGAGTGCTGCTCTACATTACTGTGCCTGGAAGTCACCTGGAGGTCTGGTTAAATGCAGAATCCCTGAATATGCATTTCTAACCCGCCTTCAGGAGATGCCCACAGAGTCTGAGGACCCACTCTGAGAAGCAATCCTTGGCCAAGTTCTTAGGCCGGGGCACTAGGAGCCTGGCAAAGACTCCACAGCAGCACCAGGAAATAGCGAAATGTTGGAAAAAATAAACATAAAGGCCTCAGATATTGATGTTGGCATCCACAAACATATTCTTGAAGATGTGAAAAGCCAGCCCCCCTAATGATAGTTTTCCATTTAGAAAATGGAGGGAATGTGGCGGGGGACACACACAATGGAGGGAAAGCCCGCCTCCTAATGCCGCTCATCACCCAAGGGGCTGGCGCAGGGCCCAAGAGGCTCTGAAGTAGTTGGCCTGGGTGCAGTGCTGACACATGCAGCGTTCAGCACTCTGCAGGAGTTTCCAATGTGCAGCCGTGGTTGAAAGCCACAGCTCAGGGGCCTTTTACTTGAAGTGCGTACCCAGGACCAGCAGCACTGGCCTCATCCTGGACCATGGCAAAAACAGACTGTCTGCCACCCATCTTACTGAATGAAAATAGTATTCCCCCACCCCCGCCACCTCCAACTCTGCAGTTTGAGAAGCCCTGCTTCTCTCTCGTGGAGTTGTCAAGTGTTACTTTACTTTCTGGAGGAAAAGTCTCCATCAGAAATGAAAGCGGGTCCTATAAAAGGAACAGCATCCAATAGTTGGCAGCAATTTGATTTTGTGTTCTTTACCCTGGAAACAAGCGTGCCAATGGGTCACACAGAATCATGGGGTCCAATGTACGCAGCCCAAACCCCAAATCACCTCCCATGTGAATCCCCAGGGTGGCACCACTGGGGGCTCTCTGAGTCTGAGTGAACTCCCTGCCTACTTGGAGTCACCCTCCTGTCACTTTTGGGAGTCAGGACATGGGGAGGCAACCAGCCTTCCTTCTTGTGAAAAGTCATAAAACCCTTTCCTAGTCACCACCCCTTATTCCAGGAAGCAGAGCCAGTGAAGACTCAAGCTGCGACTTGTGTGACCAGAATTGGGCCAAAGCTCGAGGGCTGAGCTCCCTCTTGACACACGCAAGGGCCACAGCAAACCCAAGTGATATCAAAGGATTAGAGAAACCCTGCTTCCCTCCTGAGAGTGGTCCCTATGAGAGTCGGCATGGTGCCTGCAGAGGCAACTCTGCACCCACCACTCGGGGGAAAAAGAAAGTGTCAGGTGTCAACTAAAGGAGGAAATCAGTTGCTTTGATTTAGTAGAATCTTCTATTTGGTACGAAAAGAAAAAAAAACAAACTAGTCAACCTAAGCTAACATTAAATATTTTAAGCATCCTAATGGCCATAAAATTGCTGGTTTTCACCTTGAACATGTTCAACGGCAGCAGTGAACTCCTGGGGAAACCATCTCCAGCCCTGGAAGTGGCCCCTAATGCTGGGAGAGGGGTAGAAATACCGCCTCCAGCAAATCATCCAGGGCAGTACTTGGCAGTGGGCTGCCCTGAGCCCACCTCCGTACTCCGGAGACATGTAGGGGCCTTTGGACCTTCCTAGGGACAAAGTGTGAATAGAGGGAGGCCTGGCTAGAAATGACAGATACCTGGACAGGGGTGACTGCAGCACTCCCCCTCCACAGTCCCGTGCTAATTGCCAAGTGTGAAACCTTCCACTGATGAGCACAGGTGGGTCCTCTGGGCACCACTGACAGCTCACTGGAGCCCACCTCTGAGTCTCTGCCCTTCCGGGGTCATACAGAACTGGAGGGACGAACCTGTGGGGTGAGTGCCTCACCCCAAGTCAAAGGCACTTACGGGATTTCCGGTTGGCCCGGGAGCGTTTCCTCTCCCGAGGCACCACTCGCTGACTGGGCACTTGGGTGGCCGACTTGACGATGCGGTCCATGATCTCATCAGCTGCATCATCCGTGACATTAGGTGAGTCATCGGTGCCCATAGTCCACGAACTAGTGGATCCTGACGAATTAAACAGGGAGTACAATGTATTCAGAGAAAAGGAAAACACCGAAGAAAATACACAGCACTGCTCGTCCAGCAGCAGAGCTCTGTCAACAACGGACAGGTGAGCGAGACAGATTCAGAGTGCTCACCTGTCCCCCCTGCAGGGGCACCACTGTGACCACTACCCTCCTGACTCTGAGCTCCCACAAACCTGTGCTTGGGACTCTCTTACTGTAATACTTTGTACCACAGTTGTATTCTTGTCTTTCACTGTCCTTCAACTTTCTATGCCTGGATGCATAGCCTCTACCTGCCAGCTCCCGTGATCACAGGAGGGCAGGCTCCGCCCCCCGTCACCCCCAGCCAGTGATGTGCACATCACAGATATCCAGCCATGTATATGTAGTAATGTCCAGAGACATTTGTTAAGTCAGCTATCTATCCATGGTTGTATGTGCCTAGTGAATGTTAACTAACTCCAACTTCTCATTCAGTTAAATAGAAATCATTTGATTTTGAAACATAGTTCATCTTAGCAATAGCTAGCTTTTCAATATCATAATAAGATTGTCTTTTACAACCAGCAAAGGGAGAGTTGAAATAAATTCTCTTGGTACATTCCTCTGCCCCTGACCAGAAATACACATTTATTAATAACTATCCATTAAGACAGTCCAAGTCTGGCCTGGAAGCATCTGCCCATCGACAAGTAAGAAAGCACCACAAAAACATGGGTCCCCCGACTCATGTTAAACAGTCAGAAATTAATGCTCTTTTAATAAATCAAGAACTGTGTCTTTGTGGTTGATCAGCTTCCTTGTAAAATCTATAAGATGGGAAATATGCTTCTCTAAGAAGAAAGATATACAAATATGCTCAAAATAGTGAATTTCCTCTACCTACACTCTTTTTTGTAACAAACAATTTCAAAAGCCTGTAGGTGAGTGTTCTCAAACTCTAAGCCAAATGGAACACAGGTACCATGAGGCTGACTAAGGTCCAGCTAAAGAAGAGCCAGCTTTTCCCAAATCGCAGGGGGAAATGTTAATAAATCTGTAGCATAAAATTTTGAGTTCTCCCGTACCAATTTTTAAAAACTTGTGGTGTTGGATATTGATGGAAATAGTTGGGAATAACTGATTTTCATGGACAGGTATTTATGGTTGAAATTTTACCACAAATATATTACATGCTATAAATTAGTCATAATTTCTTCCAGTAAAATTGCTATGATTGAATTAAATTCATATATAATTTACACTTTGCAAAAGGAGGACCGTGATTTCAGGTGCCCCGTCACCTGCACATATGGGACCTGTGGCTATAGTATGCTGATGTTTGCCTGTGACGAGGTATCCTTGTTGATGTCTTTTTAAAATTTCATGTTATTAATGGAAGCACACCAACAACATTGGCATACACAAAAACAGTAAACTGTTCTTTGTTTAAATCAAGGGCACATGATCTACTGGCTTCCAACAGAAGATTAGTTTGTCTCAGCATCATGAAACCTTTAAAATATAGGTTCTTCTGAGAAATATTTGGAATTGCGGCTGCATTTTTCTGCATCCTTAGGGTGGCCCAGGTGTTCTAACCGGAGGTAAGAGTCCTCACGGTGGCACTGCTCTCAGATGGGGGCTCTCCAGTGCCTCTGAACAATGGCCCCTCAGAGCGGAACACTCAAGAGTGCAATTGTGTTCTGCCCAGCAATTTATTGTTTTCCCTTTTACCTACTGATGTATAATTCTGTCTCATTCTGAAATGTCAAATTGCCATTTCAAACACACGCCATGCTCAATCAGAATTCCAGTTTGTGAAGTCCTCTTTCCTTTCTCAGTTCTCTGATGTCTTTTAAAGAAACCTTTTGTCTTTTTAAAAATTTCTAGCTGTTGTAGCAGGAGTGGTGGCTTTCCATTCCCTACGACATGCTACCCAGAAGCAGGAGTCCCTGAAAGTGCAGAGACACTGAACAGCTCTCCTTTCTAATCCCTCTCATCAGTTAGTGAAAATGAACAAAGCTAGGGGAAAAAAACTTCTTGTCTTTTCAAGTCAGGAACCATTATTTTCTTTTTTAAAATTAGCACAACCTGTTATGTCCCCGTAGAGATACTGGACTCTATCTCCCAATATGGCTTCCTTCCCACGAGGTACAGGGCTCAAGATTCCTGGGGGCCAGGGTCACCACGGTGCAGGCATTAGTGTTCTCCTTGGTCATTCTGCCGACCACGGTTAGCCTAGCACACAAATTCTGCAGGAGCTGCCAGGCTCAGAGACTCATGCCTGGGCTGTCACAGGCCTTTTGGGTACCACAGGGTACAAGTGATTCCTCTCCTCAGAACCCGTAACACTGCAAAGCTGTTTTATTTTATTCTTATCCTTGTTTTATGCTTCATCTAGACTGACAGTCTCTGCTCCTCAGCATTTAATTACAATATTTTCTTCACCTTCTGATTTTCCCACTTTCTCCTCCTCTTCTATGTTCTTTCCTGTTTACATACTTTCTATCCTTGGCTCTTCTTGGCTCTTCTGAGAAATGGAGGCCTTTCATAGACAGCAGAAATAATACTTTTCTAATTATCATCTGTGTCTCAGAGGGAGACAGACCCTCTTCTGGCATATGCTTAGCTGCATATCAAAATAAAAGCCGTGTTAAAGGGTCAAGATGCACGTCTGGAGAGAAAGAGTGGCCTGCAAGTCAGGGGTGTGGAGGAGGTGAATTCTGGAGATAAATGGGGCCTGGAGGAGCTGCGAAGAAGGGGACAGCATCAGCAAGAGCGGGGCTCAGGGAGACACAGACTGTGCCCACGATGTGGGGACGAGTGGGTCCCACATTTGGGAGACAGGAATGGCCCGGACCACAGAGGGCCTGGAAAGACAGCATGGACCATGCGGGCGCATCCTGCAGGCAGTGGGGGAACTTTGGAAGGTCACTGTGGAGTCAGAGAGGCCAGGGAAACACAAGGCAGCGTTCTCAGATGAAAACTGCACCTTAACTCTTACTAAAAAAAAAAAAAAAAATCCCTTCCAAGTTATCATACAAATCTGGACACTCTTATCTGTCTTTACCATCTTGAAGTTTTAGTTTCCTGTCTGCCTTTGAGGATTTCAAAAGGCAAATGGGAGCAGTGCTTCAGCCCGGGGCTCAGCCACCGTGTTCTGTACAGAGCCCGGCAGTTAAAGTTTGAGACTCTCTGGGCCCCGCAGTCTCTGTCACAACCACACAGCTCTGCCTCTACAGTGGAAGAAACCACAGACAACACACAAGAGAATAAGTATGGCTGTGTTCCACAGGCCTTATTTACAAAATGGGTGGCCAGTTGAAATTGGCCTCGGGACTGTATTTGCTGATGCTAGCCTGTGAGGATTCATTCACAATAATAATTCCTCTTATGTGAATTAAGTTGTATTTTGGGGACTGTTTGTTTCTGAGATGAGGCTCCTGAAGGTAGGTCACAAAGGTGTGAGTAAAGAAAAGCATATGGTTATGTCAGCACGGGGGAGTTCTGACTGCCCTTAGCAGCCACTGCCTGGACACAGTAACCCGTAACCCTGTGATGGCGACCAGGTCCCCATGGATGGCTAACTGGGAAGATGTGTCCTGCCCAGCCCAGAGTTACCTCGGCTCATTCGGCTGCGGGTGCGGACACCCAGCACCGGGGTGGCGTCCTCCATGGCAGGGGATGAGGTTTTCAGCACAGCCTTCATGTTCTCGTGCTCAGCGGCGTCTTCGGCATAGCTCAGGCCCTGGGGTGGGCTCGAAGGTGCCGGAGGACTGCCGGAGAATTTGCCAGACTGCAAGACCAAAGAGGAGGTGATGGCGTGAGCTGCCTTTCCGCAAGCCAACTCAAGCTTATAAAATGTTTAGTAGAGGAAAACCTTTGTTTCTCTGTCTCTCTTTGCCTTTTTGGTTTGTGTGCGTTATGCAGACACATTCTTGATGGCAGTCACAGATGGTTGTGGATGAACTAATGGCAAAACATCTGTATACACAGGAAGTTCTTTATCGGAAAGAAAAGCTCTGGTTCCAGGACCACACCCTCCCCCCCATTGCAGTGGGTCTCTTTGCTCACTGTGAATTCCCTCAGTGGGCGCTTACAAGGGGCGACTAAAATCAACTCTGGAATAAACTCAGTAACCAAATCCATGTCTAACACCAAAGCTCTGATATGAGTATCAAAATATGCCCTGTTAATTAAATATATTGAGCTAAATTTAATTTGCTTTTTACACTTAGTATCAGAAAGCTGTTAAAATTTTCTATATATCACTTATGGTGGTAGAATTTTAAAAGTGGGATTCAGTCACAGAATTATACAAAGTTAAGAGTTGGGGAGAGTTTTTTTCCAGAACTAGCCCCACCTCACTTTACCAAGAAGGAAACTGAGGCCCTCCAAGAGTAGGTGACTAGCCGAAGGCCTCAAGAGGGTTTGTTTCAGAGTGTGACTCAGAAATTCATGCTGAGACTGCGTTTGGCAACACTTACTACTCGTGGTGTCAAAAATTTAGTTGTTTTCACAAGCATTACATGCACACACTATTCTCTAATTCCAGCTGAACTGAGTCAGGACATAGATGTTTTACAAGAGGTATGCTAGGACAGCGGGCCATACGCACACAGTGTCCAACATCTGGATGGAACATAAACAGTCTGTTAGATTTATGTTTGCAGAGAGGAGCTCCAGAGACTCCGGGCTTCCTCTCTTCATCCACTGTCATGGCCATGGCAACAGAGTCTGGGATACATCTGTGGCTTGTACGTGTGCAGTGCTTCTTCCTCAGCTCCCAGGGCCAATCAGCCCAGACCTGGCCTCTGGTTCTGACATCTGCACCAGGACCAGGAGGAGGAACCCCTGTCATCCCGCCTCTCGCTCACTGATCCCACCTGATCTGGTGGATGCCAATTGAGGAAATGGGCACAAGTCAGAGGCTGCCCACGGCTGGTGACTGCTTTTCTGGCCTGGCTCTCAGCTGCTGCCCTACTTCCTCTTTCGTTTTAGGGCTCTTTTTGTGGTTAGTCTAGAATCCAATTCATACTTGTGTTGCCAAAAGGCTCAGACAGGGCTGGTGGGAAAATTCTCTGCCTACTTTTCTAGTGGTAGGGAAAGGCCCACTGAAGCTGCCACTCTTGACAGGGTCTGGGACTCGGGGACAGCTTGGAAAATGCAGTTAACCCTTCAGTCCCTGGCACACACAGCATGACAAGAAGGTAAGGAGGTTAGTAACCACACAGAAACCAACCAGAAAATGTCCATGCATGATTTAAATCACTGAACGGTGCTTATGTTAGGTTAGACTCTACAGCACGCCTAGGAAGGTCAAACATGGCATTCTTCATGTTTATAAAGAGTCGTACCTCAACTTCATCCTCTTCGTCAGTCTACCCGAGAGGACAGGAAAGGATGGAAAAGACAGAAGGGGTTCTTAGAAGGCACGGAAATCAGCAAAGATGAGATAATCTCCGTGTCATGTCAAATTCCAAACAAAGAAATTGACCCCAACAATGGGGGCACATCCCCTGGATTTGGGAGATACCAGGCCCTGCCTGTGGAGCCCTCCTGACCTCGTCTGGAAACTTCCCAGGTGTGTGAGCCACAGGCTCCCTCCTGACCAGAATCAGAAGGGATTTGCTGGGCCCCAGGCCAACCTCCTGAGGCTGCCCATGAGGCTGACGGGCAGCTTACCTGGTTCCCTGACTACTGTGGACTCCCTCCCAGCTCTGTGCACTGTCACGCAGCTGGCCACATTCTGTGGAACCCAGTGCCACCAGCCCGCCACCAGGGCCACAGTGAGTGGACTTTCCACCTGCCTAGCCCCACCTATCAGCTGCCATCTCTCCTCTCATCCTGTGTGCTGGGCACTGCCCTCTCCTGCAACATGAACTGCTGGGTCTGGTCCTCCAAGAATATTCCATACCCAGGTCAGACAGAACAAGAGGAACAACTGCCCGTGCAGGATGGATCGTATTCCTCTCTCCTCAGAAACATGACATTAAGTTCTCTTTAAAATCTTACCTATTCCTCATGGAGGCTGTCAGAACGGACATGCCATACTTTTCATTCTCACTAGGTAAACTTTCTCAAGTAACTTCAAATAAAATACCTCTTTTCTTAAAAAAAAAAAGTGAGGGTAAAGTCATATCAACCTCTTAAATTGAGTACACCCTCAATTTAACTTGTGTTTGTTTCCATTGAGGTGGCAGGGTTAGGCCAGCAAATCAGACACAAGGTTTCTGAGAACTGACTAAACTTCTGGAAGCTGAAATGACACAATGCTTCCAGTTCATCACATTCCACTCTGCCCCAGCCAAATGGCATCGTGACAAGAGATGACAGTCCTGCTGTGCTGGTGTTTTTTTTCTTCTTCTTAATCTTAGAGCTCATTTATTTAACTAGGATTTTGGGCTTCCCCCCACGCGGCATCACCGGTGCCCCTGGGGTAAGAGTCCTGGGGTGGAAGGCCTGGGCTCTCACAGCCCATCGGGAGCAGAGTGACAGCAGACAGGGCCACTGCCTTGTGCTGCGTAGTCGGGGCCACATTTTTGTTTAGCCCCAGTTTGGGATACACGGATGAGGAATTTGTTTCTCACTGATCCTTCCCTGGGAGAACTCCTGGGCCTTAAGGAAGGCTTTCTGCATATTCAGAAACAGAGAAAGAAGAGGAGAGACCCGCACATATGAGCAGATGTGGGGCTGACTCTGCAAATGTTGGCTCTTTAGATTTAACCCAGACTTCTCTGTCTTAGAATATAATGCTTTTTCTAAAATCACCTCTGTTTAACTGCCACCACTCCCTCTCACCTCATTATTCAGCATCTATATTAGAAGTGTCTTTCTACAAAGTTTCCCCCCAAAATCGCTTCCAGTTCTGACGTTTGGGGACTCTGTGATTCTCACTCTATTGCTTGGCTTTCTTTTCAGTGGTTTAAGTTGTAGATATGTGTTTTCTAACCAGACCATGATCGCCTCAGGATTTAAATTTATCTTTTCTTGTACCCGCATCTTCCTCAGCACCCCACGTCAGGCTGGGCACACTGTGGGCACTTGCTGACTTGACAGTTGGGAAAACGTGAATCTACGCACTTGGCCTTAAGTGACAATACATGAATTTTCCAGCAGATGGCAACCTTTTAACACAAATGCCCACTAACAAAAGGGCCTACTTTGAGGATAAACCCTGAAGAAGTCTGAGCTGTCCAGATTTTAGCGGGAATTTAAATACTCTTTAATCAAACCCTAGAAAAATTTACCCCTGTTTATAAATTGAAAGCGGAATGTTTTCAGAGAAGGACAGAATTTTAAAATTAATGAAATCTGTAAAAAAAAAATCTCAAGAATTTGGCAAGAAATTTTGAAGTGTTTTCATAATTTTAAGCATATTGGACTTGTATTTTCCACCCTCCATTGTGTCTTATTTCCACAAAAATAAGTCTTCCCCTTTTACAATGTTTAAAAATAACACTCTGGAAGGAAACGTGGGACATAGTTTGCTCAAGTGGATTCAGTTCGCGGTCCTCCAGGAAGTGAAAGGTTCTATTGAACCCAGATTCCAGGAGAGGAGAAGGGAGACTCAGCTGATGGCACTGGGTTCAGAACACCAGGCGACTGATAAAAGGGCACCTTCTGCAGAAAAGTGATCTGAGCACTCTCTAAGGGTCCAGAAAATTCCAAGGAAACAGGGGTCTGAGTGGGAGTAGGTGATGAAGGGATTAGTCCCTAGTTCTCCTCAGAATTATCTTAAAATTACTAAGATAATGCATCCAGGTCTCCATGGAAAGGTCAGACCCCTTAGGAATGTGGACAGTAATCATGTGCTCTGTTTCTCCTACAACATGAACACCCATCAGGGCACACAAAATAGGCTCGATGAGGTCTTCTTAATTGATATTATTCCTCTTCCCAAAAATCTGCCTGATTTGAGTTCAGCTGAGACATGCAAAGGGTGCTGGCTTATTCGTTTACCCATTCCATTCCCTGGATCACCAAGAGCCAAGGTGCTTCTCAGATACATATACAAACGCAGTAAGTTTCACAAAGGCACATCGGAAAGAGGCACCAGAGCTGCATATCTCTGTCTCTGACATCTTCACGCATCCCTTCCCCTTCCACTTACGAAGCATCTCCCATCTGAATGCCCACCACACTCATGGCCCAGTGGGCTTGGGGACGCAGTGGGAGAGGTGGGGGAAGAGCCTGGGAGTTGGAGAGACATGTAAGTGTGCAGGGACCCCAAGAGGGTCACCTGCTGGATTCACTGTCCCCTGGGATCTCTTCCCATCCTGATAACTCCTGACTCAAGAGCCCATCTGATTGAGTCTTTGAGCAACCACATCAATTATTTCTCTATTCAGATGCCTTGAAAGGGTGATCCATGTGTCAACTGATTTGGTTACAGAGCACTGTTATGACAATTAAAACCCTGTATTCCCATTTGTCTTCCTGTGATAAGTGGCATTATCTCCCATCACAGAGGCTGAAAATGGAAACAAGCATTTAATGTCATCAGCACCACACCACACACCCAGATGGGTTACAGGTTCCTCCTCCAGCCACACATTCGTGACTTACATATCCTAGTTCCTTGCTCACTACACTGCACATTTAAAAAAAAAAAAGAAAATAAAAAGCACAGTCCCCAAACTGTGGGACATTAAAGAGCTGACTTCATGAAACTTACATCAGTGATCATCTTCCCTCTGGTCTTATTTCTCTCTCTGTGGTTGGCCCGCTTCTGTTTCTGCTGCAAAACCCTTTCCCTGGTGGTGCGATATTCCAGCGCAAATTCGCTAATGATCCTGCAGAACTTGTTTATGTTCACTTCCCGAATTGCATAAGGTGGGTGCCCCATGAAGAGCAAAAAGGAATGGAACCTGCAAGGAAAAACAATAGTGGCAATGACTTCAGTTTTAAGGAACAAAAATCATTTATCTATAAACCTTCAGTAAGAAACCAATCAGCCAAAGACATTGTTCTTCATTCCTGAAGCTTTGAGGTTGAAGGTCTCTTCAGGTGAAAATGAGACCAGAAGTCAAGTTCAACTCACTTTCTCACTGAGAAAGTCTATGTCTAGGTAGCAGGATTTCAGGAGATTAATTACTTTTTTCTTTTTTGCATATCTGTGTTTTAATGCTTCCTAAAATGGATATGCACAACTCTTATAAAAAAAATAAATATGTAGTTTCTAGGTTATATAAAAATTTAATAAGAATTAAAGAAATATGGCTTAAGAATTCCTTTGGAACTTTCCCCAAAGCATACTTGGAAAGGACATGAACATTATGAATTATATGTAAATCGATGGTTTATAAAAAGATGCTTGTAAAGTTTTCTCTGAGTAAATATTTTGAATATTTTCTTGCAATATTGCATACAATCTTAATTTAATTAGAACACACTGGATGAGCAGCACAAAATAAATTCATCTCAGCTATTTAATTTATAAACAAAAAATTATTGAATTTTATTTGCTTAAATTTTTTTGTAAAAGAAATCAAATGAGCAAACAAGTGCCCAATTTTTAGTTATCAGAAAATGAGAAAGAAGATACTATGAGAAAGAATTAAATGTTTATATAGAATAAACAGTATTACATAGAGTATACCACTATTTGCATACAAAAACTTTTGTGTTTAATCCCTCTAATTTGTACAATTAGAATAACGTTTGGTTTACTTTTCAAATGAGGAACATTGTTTTATTCCTTTTGTGAAGAACAATAAAGTAAAGTGTGCAACATGAATTTATGGTAAAGGGGGCTGAAAGATGCTGCTTAAAGCCAAAAATGCTAGCTAGAAGTATAAAGCTCTTAAAAGAAAATATAAATTTTATGACATTGTATTAGGAAATTATTTCTTAACTATGATACCAAAAGCATAGGCAACCAAATAAGAAACAGATAAATTCAACTTCATGAAAATTAAACAGCTTTTGTGCTTCAAAGGATATTATTAAGAGTGAAAATACAACCCACAAAACAGGAGAAAATATTTGCAAATCATATGTCTGATAAGGATTTTGTATCCAGAATATATAAAGAAATCTTACAACTCAACACTAAAATGACAAAAAACAGACACAGGATTTGAATAGACATTTCTCAGAAAAAAAAAAAAGATATGCAAATAGCCAACAGGCGCATGAAAAGATGCTCAACACCATTAGTCATTAGGGGAATGCAAATCAAAACCACAATGAGACACACTTCACTCCCACTAGGATGGCTATAATTAAAAAGACACACAATAACAAGTGTTGATGAGGATGTGCAGAAACTGGAACCTCCATACAGCACTGGTGAGTCCATAAAAGTGGTTTAGCTGCTGTGGACAAGTCTGGCAGTTACTCAAAAGTTAAAATGGAGTTACTATATAGCCTAGCAATTTCTTTCCCATGCATATATCCCAAAGAAATGAATATATGTATCCATGCAAAACCTTCTATACAACTGTTTATAGCAGCATTAACCATAATAGCCAAAAAGTGGGAACAACCCTAATATCCATCAATAGATGAATAAACAATATATGGTCTTACCATATAAGGTCCTGCATAACTGGCCCACTACCTCTCTGACCTTATCTACTATGGCTCCAGCCACACTGGAATCTCCAATTCTCTGAAATGGAATTCTCCTGATTCTAGAACAAACCACCGGAGGGCCTCAGGCCCCATGTATGGTATGTAGGGGACCCCAATGGGACATGGCTAAGCAGAGAGCCTGTAGGAACTGAGGGAAGGGGCAGGGAGGCTACTCCACTCGGGAATCATAGACCCTAACAAGGCATCAGTACCAGCTGTTCCGTATGTTCAAACCATTTACACCACAGCCGGTTGCCTGGACAGCTCTCTCAATCCACGGTCTCTGCTCAAATAGCACATCTTCAGAGAAACCTGCATGTGTGTCCTCATCTCCTCCCCCCAAGGAGGCCCTGGAGTGTGGAAAGGAGAGGTCTGTTGAGAGGCTAGGGTGATGCTGAGGCAAAGGGACTCTTTTCCCATCAGGAGGCTCCCATGAAGAACAGCGGTTCTAGGTCAAAACAGAGCACTGCTGGCAAAGTACAACGGGCAGGCCAGCGAGGTGAGGAAGCAAGGGGGCCTGGACTCATCAGCTCCTATGGGAGCCTATGCAAGGGACTATGGGAAACTCAAAGGGTGCTGAGGGGAGAAATGCAGGATCTGGGGGGATGGGTAGAGCAGAGGGAAAGACCTAATGACTTGTCCCTTCTGCTGCCAATCAAGCAGGAGGTTCTAGAAGAGGCAAAGCAAAATCAATCCTAGCCTGTCCATATGGGAGACTAGTGAGGTTTCTGATGGCTCTATCCATCTGAGAACCTATCTTCTCCCCAACCAGTGAAGAAGGGAGAGAAGACCCCTGACGTCCTCATTTATTGTCCTCATTTAAACCCAGGATCCTATGGTTTAGATGCTGTGCCTTAGCCACCACCGGGACCTCCTCCCTGTTAGCCAGGTCTGTTCTACCTTCCACCTTAACTACAATGAATTCCTAGCTCATACTGGTCATCCCCAAATAGTGAGGAGACAGGGATTCAGATCACATGAGAGCAACAAATCATCCGGGTGTCCGGCTTACCAGGGAGAATTATATATACAAGGTCTGTCCAGAAAAAGTCCAACTATCGTTAATATAACAAGAATGGTTTGCGTGACATCGATGTAACCTGGCAGCCAAGGAGAGTGAACTGGAATACGAATGTGTGAACAATGATGACCTCACTGTACTAGTCAGTGGGGGTGGTAGACACCATTGAGTGAACATGTGTATTGTGTGGCTATCGCACTTAAAATGACTGACTGAGTAGAGCAATGAATCTGCATCAAATTTTGCATGAAGCTTGAACATTCCCCTGCAGAAACTATTGGGATGATTCAGAAGGCCACAGCTATGGGCAACTGGTGACTGGCAGCTTCATCATGACAATGCACTTGCTCATGCATCACATCTTGTGCAGAGCTTTTTGGCGAAACATCAAATCACCCAGGTGACTCAGCCCCCTACAGTCCAGATTTGGTGCCCTGTGACTTCCGGCTTTTCCCACAACTAAAATCACCTTTGAAAGGGAAGAGGTTTCTGATTGTCAGTGAGATTCAGGAAAATATGACAGGGCAACTAATGGTGATTGGGAGAATTATGTGAGGTCCCAAAGTGCCTTCTTTGAAGGATACTGAGGCATCATTGTCCTAGGTACAATGTTTCTTGTATCTCGAATCTTCTTCAATAAATGTCTTTCATAGCACATGGCTGGGTACTTTCCAGACAGGCCTCATATATAACTACACACACGTGTGCATTATACCTTAAGGAATACATGTACCACCAAGTTTTTATCTGTCCAGAATAAAATGGTTACTGTGACCAGGCGTAACAGCTTTACAAGGCTTTCATAAAATCACTCCAGTTTCATGATACTCTAAATGGAAACTATGTGTTTATTTGAGTAGTTTTAAGTGGGAAAATGCTTGTATCATACAAAGTGTGGAGGGCCAGAGCAGCTCACATTCCCTGCCTCCCCTTTGTAACCATGTTAAAAGCATAGTGTGCTTTGATTTCAGTGAGAAATGTGACAAAATCTCGGATGAGGCCCTCCCACTCAGAGGGCAGCTGTGAGGTCTAGATGGAGTACAGTGAGGGCAATTTAGAGTTGAACAACCAAATTCCAAAAGTGCTGAGTAGTGAATAGTTGTCAACCTGGAGGGAAGATTCTGTTCCTTATTCCTTTTCCTAACATTTAAAGATTACTGGCACCCCTACCCCTACACACCCCCCGAACAGTCTGGATCAAGACCCAGGAGGCACAATTACCAAATCAGCAAGCAGCACAAGCTGGGGGAAGGTTTACAGGCAGACAAGCGAGTTAGGTTTTTAAAAATGGTCACAGGGATGTAACATACAGCAAAGGGAATCTAGCCAATAATATTATAATAACTGTGCATGGTGTGGGGTGGGTTCTAGAATTACTGGGTGATCACTTTGTAAGGTACATAAATGTCTAATCACTATGCTGGCCACCTGAAACTAATATAATATTGTATGTCAACTGTATTTGAAAAAAGAAGTTCTATATTCAAGGGAGGTAAAGGAAAGAAGGAGAGAAAGGGAAAGGAGGGAGGGAAGAGAGAAAAGTAGAAGCTATAAAATGTCCATGGATAAATGAAAATACCACACATCTGGTTAACAAGATTATAAAGTGCTCACAGACAGGGGATGCGCTTGAGGAGCAGATCTCTGGGAAAGGCTGTGGTTGGATGGCCTCAAGAGAAGGTTTCCTGACCAGAACTACAGAGAGGCCTGCTTCAGAGGGCCTGCCCTCTGAGCTCCTGCTCCAGGTAGACCACAGCCTGCAGGTCTGCAGAGCTGCACATTTGCTCGCCAAGGTGTAAGGCCCAGGACAGAGCACTCAGACCCCGCAGGTCAGAGTAAGGCACCCACAACTGTCTTCTGCAAGGAAGCAAAGGAAAAGAAAGTTGTGCGGCATGGTAGGAAATGCCCTGGCCTAGGACACTAGAAGACCCAGGCTCCACTTACTAGACCGCCATGGAGCCTAGACCTTGGCCAGCCTTGCTGTGGGCAAGCAAGGCCTGCCACATGGCTTTTGTGTCTTTCAGGGTCCTCTTGGATCCTGTGACTCTAAAGAAGGCTGGTCCAAAGGATGGCACCATGGTGAGGCCCAAGCCTCGACCGGGCAGACTGCAGCACAAGGCAACCACCAGAGACTCAATGAGGAAGGTCTCGGAGGGCAGACGGTAGATCGTATAAAGAAGGATCTTCTCTAACAAGTCAAGCTGCCTCACAAAATGTGTGAGCTTTGTAGGTAGGACTGTCCAAACAGACTCAGGGATTCAGGGGTCAACTTACTGAGATGTTATTGATTCAACCCCTGATCAAGGAGAAATATTGAATGACATCTCTGAGATTCTATCCAACCTTAAGATGCAATGGAATTATACAATATTTGTGTGTGTGTGTGTGTAAGAAAAATTAAGTGCCCATGAAATAAACATGTGCATCAAAGGTGCACTGGCCATATACCAAGAATTTATAGTACAATTTTTGTAAATTTAACCTTCAGATCTTGGTTTGAAGAACATTTTCAACATGTCATTTTACTGGTGTTTCCATATGTTCCTCAACCCGCTTACCTGTTAATTATTCTTCTATGGACAATCTTTAAAATTATAATTCGCTCTGCACAGTCTTTGAGGAACTCTGACATTCGTTGTTTTAAAACTGGTTTCATTTCATGTTTTGCAATTGCCTTGAGGTGATCCCATGAAGCTTTGCATCTTCTCTCCATCTGACATAAATTATCCTGAAGTTGATCAAAGTCAACCTGAAAATCAGAGAGAGAACATTGAAAACGCGCTGAAACCACCAGACCCCAACCTGAACCAGGAAACCAAAGTGCCTCCGGGAAGAAATAAACATCAAAACCAAATTTACATCTTGAAATACAAACACATTTATGGCCTAAAAGTTATCCACATGTGTATCTGTCATTATCTCGGCATCAAATTATTTAGTGATAAAACTGTTCTCCAAATGAACCCAATGCAAGTGTCACCTTTTTTTTTTTTTTTACCACATTTGAAAAGAAATCGTAGGCAAGTCTTTGAAAACTGTAAATTAAAACATGATATCAAGGAACCCTAGTACAAGATGAACTGAGCAGATGTATCATTAAAATTTTCAGAGGACTCTTGTTTTTCAGAGATGATATTTCACTTAACGTTGGAGGAATTCACCATAGTCATACATGGATGGCTCTGATGTGCTGGGGCAAGCTGAGGGACGGCCAGCTTCTCCTCGCAGTCATCTCTTTTACACTGTGTGACGAATTATTTTATTTATCCACCCATTCACTCAGTCAACCAACCCTCACAGAGAAACGGGTGTATGCCAGTCCCCACACCAGGCACAAGGGGCACAAAGATAAATGCTGAATGAAACCCAAGAAGCTTATCCTATAGGCAGATAGGCAGATGTACAGAACCCACCGGTGGGAGGAGGCGGAGGAGGAGGAGGGTGGGTGGGTGGTGTGTGTGTGTGTGTGTGTGTGTGTGTGTGTGTGTGTGTGTGTGTGTGTGTGTGTGTGTGTGTGTGTGTGTGTGTGTGTGGTGTGAGGGCACGTGGTCTTGCCAGAAGATGCAAGCCACATGTGTAAGGAACAGATGTCACACAGCCCTCATGTGCTCTTCAAGGAAGTGGGAAGTCTGGATTGTCCAAAGCAGCTTGAGATGAGGCTTTCTAAAGCAATGCTTTTACAGAATATCTAGACTAGAAATTATGTAAATCAGAGAGTCAGTCATAAAAAATTGCCCTTGAGGGCCTTTCATGAAGATGTGGGATGGGGGAAAAAATTGAGAGGCTAGGAGGGGAGGAAGAAACAGATAAACAGGTGAGCTGAAGGGAGGGCGACTGATGGGACAAAGGTAGGGTGAGACACGTGGGAAAGGCCAGCAGCCAGGAAACCAAAGCCAGGAGGAGAAAGAGGCTGTGTGGAGGTGAGCCTGCGTCACTCAGCCGCCGAGGGGGTCCCGAGAGCAGGGCCTGGGTGGAAGTGCCCCAGGGGACGGGCTGGAGTGGCCAGCCGCACCCTCCAGACAAGAGCAGAGGGGCCAAGTCAACAAAGTTAATCCTGGGAGACAATCTGTCACCAGACAGGATGAAGATGTGCTGAGACAGGGGTGCCCTGGATTTCTTGGGCGCTAAAGAGCCAAACAATGGAGGCAAGTTTTGGCAGAGCTCTGGGATTCAGGTGAGCACGGAGGTTCGTGGGACTTGGAGAAAAATGATTTTCTGGCACCAAAAAAATTCTGGGTCCAGATTAAAAAAGCTCTCACTTTTCCCATGATACTGCAGAGCTGTGAAAAAAAAAAAAAAATCTAGCATTCAGTTGAAACAAAAAGATAGGTAGATCAAGAAAAGAAGGACTGAGTAGTTCAAAGAATAAGTATAGGAAAGGGTCCAGATGACCTGAGACTGACAAGTAAGATCTAGGAGGCTTAGGAGGTTTTGAGCCAATCTTAATAGTTCTAACCGTAACTCTCCATCTCTGTCCTCATTCGTATCCGGTAGCTCCCTTGATACACAATAAAACAACTTCAGTTCAGCTCAGGCACGGACTGAGTAGCCCTGTGCTACCTAACCACGTGACACTTGCCCAGCCAGCACTGCAGTGGACACAGAGCAGGCAGCAGACACGGAGGTGGGAGGTGGTTTTTCAGGGAAGAGAGTCCACTGGGAACCCTGAAGGTGGTGGCAGAAGAAAGTTACCTCACTGCCAATAGAAGCCAGATGGGGAGTCTTTGATGAAAAGCTGTTTGAGGGTTGAGCTTAACATAGGTCTTCTGAGGAGCATTGGAAGGCTACCCTAGCTGGCTGCCCTCCTGGGCTGAGGAGCCAGCACACATGGTCTGAGTCTCCACAATGACTGCATGACCTCAGATTGTTACGAGCTCCACTTCATAGTGGAGAAATTGATGCACAGGGAGGGTAAGGAACTTGTGAGAGGCCACACAGCTGAGAATGGGTAGAACTGGGATTTGAACCCAAATCTCTCTGGCTCCAGAGTCAAAGTTCTCAGCCATCATTCCCTAACCCTAGGTTTGCCCCTAAACATATTCCACCTCTGGGAGAGAGGTGGCCTGGACTTCTGTCGTGCTAAGGACCTAAGGATGGCTCCACATGGGCCACTTTCCATGTGCAGAAAGACGCATGAGCTGCGCTGTGAAGCAAAGTCAAGTCTTCCCAAGTCAGCCTGGAATGCTGTGGGAGAACTAAGGAACACAGCGACCCTGCCCCTCGGGAACTGTGGTGGTGAGGCCCAGAGCGTGCCACACCAGGGGTGGAATGAATGCCGCTAGGGCTGGGGCTTCCTGTAGCTTATTTTCTACCTGTCCACAGAGAAGGGGCCCTCAACACCCACAAAGGCTTTAGAAGTAAAGCCGAGCAATTGTAGCGCATGCCCTCGCAACCTCTTGTTGCAAGTCACAGGGACCTGCGTCAATAGTCATCTTTAGTAATTGCCAAAGTTAATGGGTAGAAGCTATCTGCGGTTTGGGCCTGTATAGCCAAGCTTCAGGCAAGAATATGTTATTTAGTGAATAGTTAATAATAACTAAGCATCCTTTGGAACAGGTCTGATGCTGCGGGGAGCCAGGGGCTGTCACTGGGGTCAGCCCGGGGTCAGGACCCCTAGGCTGGGGCTGTTTTGGTTACAAGCAGGCTCCCTCCTAGGAGAATCCCTGGGGAGGAACAATGGACCATGTGTAAAAAGGGAACTGATTTGTTCTGGAAATAGGACCAAGGTGAATCTAGACAGCCAGACAGACTTTGTCTCACAGAGGGTTACTTAACAAACTGCCTTCTGGCACAGGACAGTGCTCATGGAGGAGCAGGGACCAGAGCAGCCACTGGCAGACCCACGTTGGGGTATGCAGAGGGGCTTTTTGCCTTGCTTAGGATATTGAAGTAATATTTGTAAAGACTTCAGAGCAGTGCCTGTCATGGAGTAAGCATGGTGCAGGCGCCTTTGAAATAGTCTGCTTTCTAGGAAACCCTTTGTAAGTCTTCAGAGCTGGGGGATCACTGGCCATGCCTCCTTCTGCCTTAAGGCAGGTCCACTCTCAGGCTGGCTCAGGGGCCACCTGCTCAGTGTACCTGGCAGTTGTCAGCCTGCTGCTCCTGAGGCAGGTGATGGAGGGTCGCAACGCCTGGGTCCCCCCAAGCCAGTTCTGTGGGAGAGGATAGAGAGAGGACAAGCTCCGGGGCGTGGAGCGGCGGGGGGGGGAGGGCGGAATAGCAAAGTCCCCTTCCCCATTCTTCCCCCTTCTGTCCATCACTCTGTCCTCTTCTCATACTAGATTCCAATGTGTCCCAGAGCTAAAGGTCATTCTGCTTTCAGCTCCTTAGTCTGGGTTGTGTTTCCAGGAGTTTCTACCACACCCTTTGCCCATGAGTTTCCCGTTGCCCCCCAAGACCATCACATCTCCTAGTCTGCTGGGTTTGGGATTCCTCTGGGAGAGTTCAGCCTCAGTGATGCTCCTGAAGTGGGGGCAGCTGGCTGTCCAGCTATTGCAACTCTCTCTTTTCTATAAATCCTATGTTTGTGAAGACTTTCACTCTGCACTAAAGTTAAGAGCTTGCACCTGAGGGGCCAGTGCTATATACCAGTCACAGCCCTATAAACTGTTCACCGTGGAAGACCGCAGGCGTGGTCAATCCGTGGGGAGCAGGGGCCAGGCATACCCTGTTTCCTGGCTTGATACCTCACCGCAAGGTGCTATGGAAGTCTTAGGAGGAGCCAAATGGCATCTTTCTGACATTCCTGCCCACCTACAGCAAGCTGGAGAGTTTTCATGCTTGAAATCCAGCCTGGTGAGTAACACCACTCCACAATGGACACAGCAGTTTGGCCTGGGATGGCAGGCTCGACTCACATACCTCAGTAGGAAAGAATCTGATGGAGAACCAGAGATGGGAAAAGGATCTTAAAAGTCCATTGGAAAAGGCACAAAACGAGTCATATTCACCAATTCTAGAGCAGGGGAGGCAAGCAGCCCTTGCGTGTTTTACTTAATAGAGACGGCACTCCTCAGAGAAGACTGATGAAGACCCAGCTGAGGAAAAGACACAAGCAACACCTCCACGGCCACGCACGTACCTTGGCTGACCTGGTGACGGCCCCAATCTCTGAGTACAGATCAGAGCTGTCTGGGAAGTTTTCCACCACCATGGTGCACACGTGATAAAGAAGTGACTGCTTGTGCACGGTGTCTTTGACTTCTGGAACCTTCTCGAGGTAGCTTAACTCAAACGCTTTGGCCTGTTAGGGAAACATTAAATAAAAGGCAGGAAGAAGAAGTTTTACACAGGTTATTAGAATGGCACAAATGGTTAGAATCGATGCCCTGTTGGAGTAGCCCAGTATTTAGATTTAGCCCCTTTGTGACTGAAGTTTCTGAGGCCACATGCTCTGCCATTCTTAGCTGATCACACATGGATGAGCCACACTGAGAATGAAATGAGCCTCCAGCTCTTTCCCACCATGGCCGCTGGCCACGAGCTGACCCAAGGCCCCACCCCTAGAAATCGAGGTGCAGTGAGGTTGGGTCTCTGTTACCTGGTAGCTATCTACAACATTTTTCTCCCTTTGCCCTATTGCTATTCTGTTTTCTGGCCAAATATGGGCCAATTTTTTTAAAAGTTTGTTTATAATGCTTGCACACATCACACAAAAACAAAAACAGCCTAGAAAATACCTCCAATGTCAATTTTGAGAGTAGCTAAGCTTCAAAGGAAAAGTATGTTTATTTTTCTAAGTTTTCTTATTTATAGCAAGATACAGGTTCGCCCTGGCTGGGTGGCTCAGTTGGCTGGAGGATCGTCCCATGCACCAAAAGGAACTGGGTTCAACCCCCGGTCAAGGCACATACCTAGATTGTTGCTTTGATTCTTGGTTGGGGTGCATATGGGAGACAACTAATCAATGTTTCCCTTTCACATCCATGTTTCTCTCCTCTTTCCTCTATCTTTACAATCAATAAATATATCCTCTAGTGAGGATATACATATAAAATGTGTATATATATAAAAATATATAATACATATAAAATGTATATATAATATATAAATATATATTTTAAATATATAATGTATAAATACATATATTTAAACATATTGTTTAGGAACAAATTTCTTCTAGATTTTCAGCAAAAACTACAAAAGTAGTGCTTCAATTGTGTTTTGGGGGAGCAGAGGTATGACCTCCACCAGCAAGTAAAGGGCAGGAATTTTGGGGCAAGGGAGGTAGGAGGATAAGTCACGTGAAAGACTTACATTAGTTCCATTTAGAAAGTTCCCAATGGCTAAGAGAGTAGACAGGATAAAGCCCAAGGTTTTATTGTTCTCCAACTGGTCTATTCCTTCCTTCAGGTCCAAAAGTGGTTCTGCCACTTCCTTTCAATTAAAAAAAAAATTAGAAGATGATAAAGAATGGTCATTTTGGCTTTCCTTGGTTCTTCTTAATTTTTGTACAAGGTAATAACAAGTGGAGTTCTTCTCATTATAAAGCAATCCCACATGACCTACACATGCTCCTTGTTGTGGAAAAACATTGACAGGCAGCAGGGAGCAAGTCTACTCCCCAAAGTCTCCCCGGAGACCCTGAATGGGTGCTTGTGGCTGACAGAGTTCATGTGGGGGTGATAAATCATCTGTCTTCCCCTTCTTCTGCCCATCTTCCAAGACCCTCATTCACGATCTTGCCCTTCTTTGATCTCCCCATGGCTGACTTCCATGACGCTCCTCCTTCACAGGTTCCTCTGGAATTGGGACCAGTTTTCTTCTTTGCCTTTCTCCTACCAGGCAGACGACACTGGACACTGTGGCCTCACTGACCCTGGACATCCCAGGCCTCCTGATCTCCCCTCTTGGCACTCTGGCCGGCCACCTCTTAGCCTGCTTACCTTCTAGAAGGCCACCACCCTTGCTATTCCCACGGCCTTCATAACTCCCACTCTCTCGGACTTGGGGTGAGTGCCCTGCGTCCTCATGGCCTCAGTCCCTTTCTGCCACCGTGTGATCCCCACTCCCATGTTCTTACTGAGCCTCTCCCTCGCCTGTATCCCAAAGCCAGAAGATTCAGCTTCATTCTCTCCAGCCCAGGTTTTGCCCTGCCTGCCCCCCACCAAACCTTGACTCAATTGTCTGTTTTTTCCCTGACATTACCCCACTTTGTTAAAGAAAGGCACCTACACATGTTGACTGGTTTTGTGACCAAGTCATGCCAAGTCACCTTAGCAGCCCCAGGTCTCTCCATCCCTGCTGCATTCCCACCTCAATCCAATTCAGCGGTTTCCTCCTGAAGCTCCCCAGACCCACTGCCGCATTTCTGGCCCTCAATATAGGACTGTGCCCTCTCTCTCCTTTGCAGAAAGAAGAAGGCCATGCAGCTCCCCAACCTGTGCTTTGAGTCCCAGCTAAGCTCACCTCCTGCTTACTGTCCACCTCTCCCCTTTCCTGTCCACTAGTTCCTTTTGCTCAGCTGGCATAATTACTCACTGCCCCAGGCCAGAGAAGACTCCTTTCTTCTGCTTTCTACTTGAGATGGGTCTCCTCCCTGTGCCTTTACTGCCAAGGCCCCTTTCCTTCCATTCTCCTCTCAACCTCTTGCAATCTCTCGACTTCTCCTGTCTTCAACTTTCTTCCAAGATATGCTCTCAAAGGGACCCACTTTGACCTGCCACTTGCCATAGTTGATGGCAGTTTAGATGATTATCACCAAGCGGATGGATTACACATCACTTCCTATACTGTGCTTCTTTTCTGTATTTTCCAAATTTTCTATAATGAGTGTAAAGTCAGGAAAAAATTAATAGTTTTTCTTTAAACCCACAATCACATGTCTGAGGCAGGTACCAGGCAGACACTTTAGAATGACGCTTCACTGGCAGGCTGCTGATCACTTAGTGCACACACAACCACACCGTGTTCAACTCAGACCCTCTCTTAAGAAGGACACTCTACCATGTCGCCAGTGCAAAATTGAGGTTCTCAACCCTGGGGATGTAGAACTGGCTGCCTGTCTTCCTATTGCTTACCTTTTCTGTAGTTTCATAATCCATTTTGAAGGCCCAGAGGTGGAGACGAGCTGAGAGCTCACTGATGGAGGAGAGCGTGAGGAGGAACTGTTCTGCGCTGCCCAGCGGTGCCTCGGGGTTGGCCAGCTGAGCCTCCTGGATTTTCTGCTTCTCTTCTTCTGTAGGGATCATGGTTAGAATTTTCTGGAAAGACAGGATGACATAGTATATGTTCTCTCTTAGTGATGGAACCTATCCCACTGCTTCAATGTTTCCAAATTCATATTGAAATTTTCCAACAGGTAGTAGTGATAGTCTGCTGTCAGTGTTCTTTCCATATATGGGTATTACAATGTTTAAACCAAATACACTTTAGGGAAAAGCCCCAGTACCATCTAAATTTACATTCATTTGTTTCAAACTTCCCTCCTTCCCTCTCTCTCCTTTAATCTGTTTCATAAGCAACTTGCCCCAAATGTTCTGGTTCTTGCACAAAAAGGACATTCCAGGCAAGAAATGAGGATGAAGGTGAGAGAAAGGTGAAAGAATAAGTAGAAGATTAGAGAACAGCTCCTTGTTCCCTAGGAAACAGAGTAAAACATGTCAGGAATATATGCTTTCTAGTACATCTCATGGAGTCATTTTAAAGCATACAAACATAAATCATTTTCAAAGATCTCAGATTGACTTCTACATAGGACATATTATAAATTTAAGTGTTTTAAATACTTTAACCAAATTTATATAGAAATGAAAACACTTTAAATAATATCAGATGCAAGTCTGATTGAGGAGAAATGAAGTTATTTATAAAGAGTAATACCTACCTACTAATAAAATAAAGTATATCTTTTTGTTTCTATTTGATTCTGGTTAAAGTCACTTGTGGAAGGCAGAGGAAGCAAAAACGCATCACAAGGATGATGATTCTTTCAGATTCAAATTCCTTACTGATGGCATTTTAATAAAACAATTCCCATCACGTGACACAGCACATACAACATTATTTAAGATATGGTGTCATCCTTTTTCTCTCATTTCATCTTCTGTAGCATCAGAGATTTGTGGCATACTTTTTGTGACTTGCATCGATTCATTGATTCTAAATGGCCTTGGTTACTGCTGGACATAGCAAGCACCTGGATAGCAACTGGGTGAGATGGAGCAGACACAGGCTACCCTGTCTGTTCCCACGAATGCAACTACATACCCTGGACGGCATGCATGGGGCAGATATTTGAAGACTCTACAGAACATAAACAGTGGCAGGTGGACTGCAGAAGAAGATTAGAACTGGAGGTTCAACTGAACAGGTAATGGATAAGTGACCATTTTTCTCTGGCATTCCACAGCCTGGGCATCGGAAGGCCCCGGGTAGCCTGAAACCCGGAACGAGGCATCAGGTGCAGACAGAGAGCTCTGACGAGAGGGTTAGGAAAGGGGTCTCCTAGCAGTGGCAGAAGGGGCGAGCAGGCACCTAAATCTGAGGGAGGGAACCTTCCTCTCCAATCAGTGATGTTACGGTCCCTTCTGCTTTTCTTCTCTCTGTCCTCTCTCGGCTGGGCTCCAGGCATGAGCATAGTTGCAGAAGGTGGAAGGCAAAGGGAGGTGGACTGAAGCCCCAGCTTTCAGCTGGAAGACCAGTGCCCAGGGCACTGGGAAGTATTAGGGAGATGATGGATAATGAAGAGCCTAGCAAAGTAAGCATATAAAGTTGCACAAGAACTTCTGGGCTCATCCCTGACATGCTCGTATGTGAATCTGACCTTAAACAGCACATCAAAGACTTGGAGACCTGAACTAGCCTTTGAAACTGAGCTGATGCTGGAACTACAGTCAGCAAGACGTAGGTCAGAACCTGTGGCCTGAACCCAAACAAAAAAGGGCTAGTTTTCAACTCTACATATGAAACCAGAGTTACCCTGATACAAGAACTAGACAAAGATGGTACAAGGAAAGAAAGCTAGAGACTAATATCACTGATGAAACTAGATGTAAATACAAAAATCCTTAACAATATATTTTAATATATATATAAATAAATGTCAGTATGTTAAGACATATTAACACATTACTATAGTTTACACAGCAACATAATAAAAATAATCACAAGGTTGGTTCAATATACAACAATGAATCAATATAATTAATCTACCAGATTACTAGTCTGAACAATTCATATAATTATTTCAATCAATACAAAAATTTTTTTTATAACATCCAATATCCATCCATTAAAAAAACAAAAAACAAAAAACTTCTCAGCAACCCATCAGCAGGAGAGATTTCCCACATCTGTTAAATGACATATATAAAAAAACCTCCAGCTCACATGCTTAGTGGTGACAGACCGAACATTTTCTCTCTAAGATTGGGACCAAGACAGGAGGCATTAAAAAAAAAAAGGCCATAGGAATGGAAAGGAAAACTTTAAACTGTTCTAATTGCACATGGTATAATTGTCTACATAGAAAATTGTGAGGAATCTAAAAAGACTATTAAAAATAGTTTAATAATGTTGTATGATATAAGATCAAAACACAGAAAAATCCATTTAATTCCTATATATTGATAATGAATAATTGCAAATTGAAATTTAAGAAAAATGCTATTTTCAATAAAATACTTAGGTATAAATCTAACAGACCACGCTGGGAAGCAGAAAATGCTGATGAAAATGATCAAAAAAGATCTAAATAAATGGGGGATATGCTGTATTCATGGGCAGCAGAGTCATATATTAATTTTCCCAAAACTGATCCATAAATTTGACTTAATTCCAATAAAAATGTCACCATGACTCTTTGTGTGTGTGTGTGTGTGGCTATAGACAAGCTAATTCTAAAAGTTACATGTCAAGGGAGATAAACCAAACTAACCATAACAATTTTGAAAAAGAACAGTCTTGGCCCTGGCCAGGAAGCTCAGTTGGTTAGAGCATCGTCTCGGTACACTGAAGTTATGGGTTCAATCCCTGGTCAGGGCACATGCAAGAAGCAACCAATGAATGCATCAGTAAGTGTAGAATGAAATTGTTTCTCATGCTCTCTCTCTCTCTAAAATCAATTTTAGACAAATTAAAAAAACAAAAACAACCTTGAAGGGGTCACACCACCTGACTTTAAAATCTACTATTAGCATATTAGTAATAAGACAGTGTGGTGTGGGCAATAGGACGTAGGGATCAATGGAACAAAACAGGGGGTCCAGAAATAGACTACACAAATATGGCCCACTGATCGTGACAAAGATGCAAAAGCAGTTCAAAGGAGAAAAAATAGTTTTCCAAAACATGGCTTTAGAACAATTGAAATTCTTATGCAAAAAAAGAAACTCAATTTAAACCTTACACTTTACACACGAATTAACTTAACAGAAATCACAGATCTAAAAGTAAAACATAACACTGCAAAACTTTCAGAAAGAAACATAGGAGAAAATCTTTGTAATCCACGTTAGGCAATGAACTCAGACATGAAACCAAAAAAGAACAGGTTGACAAACTGAACTTCATTCAAATTAAAAACTTTTTCTCTGTGCAAGTCACTGCTAAGAGAAGGAAAAGGCAAGTTACAGTTCCTCAAAAGGTTAAACAGAGAGTTACCATATGACCCAGCAATTCCATTTGTTAAGTTTTTACCCTAGAAAAAAATTAAAACTTACATCTGCACAAAAAATTGAACATGGATACTTGTAGCAGCTTTATCCATAATTCTAGAAATTGGCCCAAGCCCAAGAGTCTTCAACAGATGAATGAAGTGTACTCAACAACGAAAAGGGACAGACTCTAGGGACATACTAAAACCAGGATGCCTCTGAGAGACATCAACCAGGCTTGAGTGGAAGCAGCCAGTTACTCACTGCATGATTTCATTCAGGTGAAATTCTCCAAAAGAGAAAACCACAGTGAGGAGAATAGATCAGTGGTTACCAGGGGCCAGAGGTGAGCTGAGGGTGCGTCTAGAAAGGGGCAGCACAAGAGCAAATTTTGGTGGGGGGCGGGGGAGGGAAATGGGACTGTTCTGAATCTTGACTGCAGTCGCCATTGCATGAATTTATGCATCTTTTCAGTCTCTTAGAACTGTATACCCAAAAGTTTAATTTGACTCTATATTAATGCAAAAAATAAATACAATTTTTTTAAAAATTGGACCCATGACATCAAAATCAGCAAACCTGCAGGCGTTTACATGACTGTGCCTCAGGACATATGCGGCCGGGGCGGAAGCCATCTGCTTTGGAGGGAGTGCTATCAGGAGGGCTGCCTCGGTATTGCTTGTGTGCTCTGGGCTGCCGGCAGAGTGAGGTCACAGGAGGTTCGCCCTCAGGTACCGCCCCTTCCAGCATTGCCTTCATCATGGCCCCAGACACTGAGGTGACGCGAGTGGGATGTGAACATCGGGGCGATATTCAGCGACAGTGCTCGTTGCCCTCCCCTCCCACAGGCTCGCGCTTTGACCCCCACCTGACCACAAAGATGGCATCAGAAAACACCCCACCCAACCCAAGCACATGTCACTTCTTTGAAAACACCCAGGATTTGAACTCAACCCATTTTTAAAATTAAAACAAAAATGTGTATTTTAATTTTCTTCATGCTCAGTTTTCAGCATGTAGAAGAATTCCAAAATAAAAAAAAAAATTGTCAACACCTTTTCCCCTTCTTCAGAAGGCATTTTCCTGTCCTGATTTGAGTTGCCTTTTTTCCTTTGGGAAAGTAATCAGACACTCTTACTTTTGTTTTTCACTTTTCTGACTAATTTAAACCATTTGTTCAGTGTCGAAGATTTATGAGGTTGCCATCTGCCAGTTTGTTTTATTTTTTTTACACATCACTGACAATAAAAATAGCCATAAGACAGTGGAATGGCAGGTCAAAGCCGCCTCCTATGAGGTGAAGGCCATTTTTTTCCATGAGCAGATGAAAGGAGATGAACATGAGGGGGAACCTCTAATTTGCTCTTCTACCCTGTTGGGAGGTTTATGGGTGATTTTATGATCACCATTTGGTTCCACAGGGAGAAAAACATCAAACAAGACCACTACGCAATCATCTCAGTGTTTTTGCTTTTTATTTTCTCCCAGACGGTGTTTCTCCAGCACTTCTTTAAGTGTACTTGCTTTTGTATCTGAAAGCTGTATTTCAGAGAAAAACGCACATGTCTCACTTTTTATGGACCCAAATGTTCTGGGGCTTGACCATCTCATTCACCTGCAGATGAGACAGTACCGAGCAATTATTCTGCCTTTGTTAGTTTTGAACAGAACCCTGGCTACAGCCCTGGGTGAGAACCTAACACAAGGATCTGGGTGACAACAGCAGAGTTGAAGCTGTTAGAGGTGGGCCTTGTTTGTATACACATATTCTTATGAGATAATGGCTTTCTACTTAGGTGTTTATTCCCATGGACCTGGAGGGACCGTTTTTGTTTTTTGTTTCTTTAAACTTCTCAAGGTGTGCTGATAGTATCTTCTTTCATTTGTGGCTAGTCAGTGAAGCACACAGGGTGGAAATTACTGCATCAAACTTGCAGGTGAAGTGACTTGTCTGAAGCGAGGCTGGGTCAACCCAGGGTCAACTCCTAGTTCCCAGCCCCAGCTCCACAGTTCACAGCAATTCAACCAAAAACGCAAAGTGACCAGTACAGGGAACACGCCCAACCATCAGGACACTCTGGTTCCCGGGCACTGCCGACCAATTGCGGTGCCTGAGCTCAGGCTCACCTGGGTGTGCCCAGCACCCACTAGGGCCCCTGTGGACAGCGTGGTGTAGTGCAAAGTGCCCAAAAAGGTGCCATAGTTCTGTACCTGTGGCCAAAGGGAACTTCTGTCTCTAGGATGATGATAAGTCTGGAAGCCAACTGGGCCAAGTTAAATGTCATTTGGGACCATTCAATGGTGCTACTCTCTTGAATAGACACAGACAATAAAAATCAGAAAAGCACGAAAAAAAGGGAAACCTCTTCATACTTCCATTTGTGATACTTTAAAGATATCATACTTGGGAAAATATCATTAATACTACTAGAAATGGCCCCAAATAAATGTTTAATCTTCTCACGAAAAACTACTCCCTTAATCAAGTTAGTTAATTACTTCCTCAGGTTTACACAACAAACCGGATGCATACCATTGGGTTGCTAAGCAAAGCCACAGGATGTCATTTAATACATCCTAATCACATTTAGGTACACAGAGGTTTCAAATGGCCCTATTAAGCTGTGGTGCCATGCTCCAGTTGCCTGCGTCCCAGAAGCAGACAGTTTGGCAAAAGGCTCTTGCGTGCAAGCCTGAAATCCTATTAGTAAAGATCTGTAAGGACACAGCTTCCATCTCTTCTCAGTCCTGACTTAATTGTTGAATAACAAGCCTAGAGAATAAACTCTGGGTAACCGGCTTAGCACACGGATGCAGACCACGCATGCCCCTTGGGTCTCAGATCAGTGATCAGAGACAGCAGGTAATGCGGGACAGTGCCTGGGTTCTCCAAGAGAACTGGTGTTTGCTGGACTCTTCTCAGCCATGACTGACAACAGTTAAACACACACACACACACACACACACACACACACACACACACACTCTCTCTCTCTCTCTCTCTCTCTCTCTCTCTCTCTCTCTCTCTCTCTCTCTCTCTCTGCATTCACACAGACAGCCTTAAATCAGGAGTTCTCAGTCCAGGTGATTTTGTTCCCAGGAAACATTTGACAAAGTCTGGAGACATTTTTGATTGTCACCACTGGGGTGGTACTACTGGCTTGTGGCTAGAGGTCAGGGATGTTGCTCAACATCCCACAAGGTGCAGGGCAGCTCGTACAATCAAGAAATGCCCAGCCCAGAATGCCAACGGTGTCATTGGTGAGAAACCCTGCTTTAGATGAAAACTGTGGTAAAAATGTGTAACCTTGTGTTGTTGTGACTAAATGTGGATTTGCTGAGGTCTCATGACACAATAAACTCTCAGTAAAGGCTTACAGTGTTTTCTACCGCTCGGCCTTCTTGCTTTGTACCAGTCCATGCATCAGCTCCTCCCGGGGGAAAACAACAGGCAGGGCTGTGAGGTGGACTGTGTGGTCTCAGGAGCCTTCTAACTCCTCATTCAGGTTCCTCCTCCTTTTTTTGGCATCCGTGGGCCCTCCCAGGCCAGCCATCCCCAAGGCCACGCTCTGCACTATAGACTCAGAGTCTAGAGCTCATATTTCAGCTTGACCTCTCACTAGCTTGTGAACTTGGGCACAGACTAAAGTTGGGACTCACTCTCTTTAAGATGGGAAACATAATAGTATGTGCCTAATAAGGTTCTGATGAGCATCTGTGTAAAGCACCTACCTGTGCCTGGCCCACAGGAAGAAACCTATGGAAGTCAGGCTTTGCACTATGTTGCTATTCCTACATCCATCATCATTACTGTTGCTATCATTAGTCCTTCCTGGATCAAAAAGGTGCTCAGCTGGAAACCAGTCAGAAAGGGAAAAGAAATTTGATTCATTCTAAAATCTAAGTAACCTATTGTATCTGAAACTTTCCCCACCCAGGGAGATCTACGGTTCAGGAAAGAACAAAGGCAAAGCCCAAAGGAATCAATCTCTCCTAACGGACTTTCAAGTTCTCTGAACAAGAAGGAGAAATGTTTAAAGGAGGAAGTTGTCATTTTTCCCCTTTAAATCAGGCTGGCTCTGGCTGCATTTGAAGCCTCTCTTTATGTGAATCTGAAGCTTTTGCCATCTCTGAAAGTCACGGATATGTAAATAGGATGATCAGAACGTGGGCCAGGGCCACCACACTGCCTGTCCTAGACGGAAGACTCTGCACTTGGTCTGTGCAGGCTGGCAGCTCCCACCGGCTTAATGGCAAGCCAATGCCCTTCTCCTGCCTTCTCTGGGGGTCCCAGGGTGGGGCAGCCTCACCCTGGGGCCTGGCCAGCCCCTTCTTCCTTCTGGCAGCGTCCCTGTCTGCATGTACCTGCTGGCACCGGCTTTTTCCTTTAGAGCCCCTGCCCCAGTCGGCCATGGGCCCTCATTCCCTGCCTGCCCAGCTGGATATGTTGACCTGCTCTGCTGCCTGGCCTGACTCTATGGCTTAGGGCTCAACTTCCTCTCCAGCCAGAAGGAAATGCATTTCAATCCTTGTCCTTGCTCCTCGGGACAGGATGTGTGTGTGTTTCTCAGAGTGGAGCTGCTTAGGCCTGCATTTGGTTTCCGAGGGTTGCCATAACCACCCGCTGGGTGGTTTACAACAACTGAAATGTATTCTCTCACAGTTTGAAAGACTACAGGTCTGCTATCAAGGGATTGGCAGGGCCATGTTCTGTCTAAAGGCTCTAGGGGAGGATGTTGTCTTGACTCTCTCTAGTGTCTGGTGGTTGCGGGCAATCCTTGATGTTCCTTGACTTGTAAACACATCACTCCAGGCTCTGCTTCTGCCACCCCATGTTCTGCGAGTCTCCCTGAATGTTTTCTGTCTTCACATGGCATTCTCTTCTCTGTGTCTATGTCCAAATTTCCCTCTTATAAGGATATCAGTCACTGGAGTAGGGCCCACCCTAATCCAGTATGACTTTATCTTAACTTGATCACATCTGCAAAGAGTATATCCAAATATGGTCAGATTCTGAGGTTCTGGATGGGCATGGATTTTGAAGGGACACTGTCCAGCCCAGTACAAACCTCTAAGAACACTGTGTTTCCTGTGGAGGCCCCTTCTTTTCAGAGCACAGAGGCATGCCCGCCCAGCTGGGTTCAGATGCTACCACATGCCCCACTGCTCCCTCCCTGACTCAGGGCCAGGGTCAGATCTGGCACCGAGCTCACGTCTGACTCTTTTGTCAAGGGCTTGCTTTCCCTCACTGTAGGCAGTCCTCATTTGTTTCCTCTACTCTCAAGTCTTACATAATTATGACTATGTATGAATGAACCCCAACTATGGAAGAATATTAAAGAAATCCAGAGCCTCTTGCTACGAGAAGGATGAGGTGGGTGTCACCTAATGCTATGACGCAGTGTCCTACCCCCGCTCTGACCCAGTGGGCCCCAGGCTCTATCACTCGTCTGCAGAAATCTGTGAGCTGGGCCATTGGCTCTACTCACTCTGCTTCCATGATCAGAATAAGAGATTTAACTTGGGGCAAACTGGCAGCAGCTCATAGAGAAGGGAGAACAGGTCCTGGTGAAAGAGCACTGAACCCTGCCGAGCAGAGCAGCTGAGCTGTGGCTCCAGCAAGGCCACCTACCAGTCATGTAGTCACAGCCAAGTCACCCAACCTCTCTCCGCCTGCACCATGCAGATCAAGAAATATGGAAGATTCAGTTGGCAAATGAAATATATCTCTATGTACCCAATCGAGTGCAGAGAGAGAAACCAAGTCACTTACATGGATATGAGCACTCATGGAAAACCTTACTTTTGGAACCGCTCGCATTTGATTTGAAGTGATGTGAATTTAGAGCCGAACATCCTCCCCTAAGGAGGTTATAATATTCTTCCATGTACGGTCAGAAGGAAGTGCATGAATGAACAAGAGTGAGGATCTCTGAGCTTCATAGGTAAAAAGGGACTTCCCCAGGCCCCCAGAAGTTTTAAAAAATGTGAGAATTATTAACGTTATTCAGAGTCTGGCTGAGCAGAAAAATGACAAGCCACCCTACAGAGAAAGTCATAATGAACACAGTAATGCTTTACATATGTGACTCATTACAGAACACACATAATGCTTGATAGAGCTCCTCTTACCTCAATTCCTTCTTTGTTTAAGGCATATTCGTCAAAATTCAAAATGGCTATCTTAATCGTTCTTGGAGGGGGCAGTACTGTCAGCCCAATATTAATAGCATTGCTCCTCTTGGAATCCAGGACGATGATCTCTTGCCTTTTTCCATCTGCAGCGGTTTTCTTGGTGACAAAAAAGGAGAATCCAAGATTAATGCATCATCTTTGGTCCTTTCTGTGTTTCATTATTAAGAGCAAAGTCACTACTTATTTAGAGATGAAAACAAGTGGCCCCGATTCAGCTCGGGAAGGACTGGCTACTGCTCAGCACAGAAAAAAAGAGATCAGGGATTAGCTCTGAGAAACCGCCAAGCACAGGTCAGCAATGGAACTTTACAAGTCAGACACATTACAAAATAAAATTGATTTTCCTTCAATTGGGAAAACTGTGATATTTTGCAAGAAAGAAAAAAATTAGTTGTTTTTTTTTTCCATAGACGCCGTGGAAACAAAACTGAAACCTCTCAGAGCTCCCTTCCAGTGGTCTGCCAGGTGTTGGAGTGTGCTCTGGTTGGCCCTCATGCATACGTCATGATCCTGGAGATGGAGACAGTCGGTACACATGCCAGGAAGACAGGAGTGACGCGGACAATCTGCTGCCACTGGCTGGTCAGTCCCTATGGACCCCTGGTCTTGTTGTTGCAGGGGCTCCTCCCACCATTCAAGCCGCCCCCCGCCCCGGGCCTCTTATCCCAGAGCACCTGCCACACTCAGACACCTGGGCAGTTGCCACTGGTGAATGAGGAGGGACCTGTGGAGGAAGGAAAACCAAAGAGCATGTGCTGGTGAAGAAGAATGAGGGACAAATGGCCTAGAGGCCAAGGAGAGGAACAGGGGACAGGTGTTCTGGTGTCCTCATAGAGCCCTGTGTGTGAGGCACTGAGCCAACACCTGACCCGAGATGAGACGACAAGGCTTCAGCTTCCTCCCTGAGCTCTTGGGAAGTTAGGGGCAAGTGGTCATGGGGACAAGAGGAGGAGGTCTGGCTCAGCAAGCTCCCTGACCGGGTTCAGGGTTCCCTTCAGGTAAACAGAGCTGGGAGTGTGACTATTTTTATTCAGGTAACAAGCCTATATGACAATGATGAATTAGGCACCATGGACCTCCTGAAGGAGAAGGGTGGGGTGTGTTCCCAAGGCGAGGGGGCTCAGCAGTGGGGTAATTAACTCATCTAGTATATGGAGGGGCAGGGTCTGAAGGAGCTGACACTTGAGCTGGGCCCTAAAGAACGTCTAGGATCTAGTCGGGAGCTGGGGAGAGAAAATAAGGAGGTAGGAAGTGGCTTTATCGAGCCTGCTGGGAATTGCCAGAGAAGTATGAAGCAGAGAAGTTTGGTGGGGGTGGGGCGCATCCGGGGGCGCTGGAGCCAGCCGCTCTGACTCCACTGCAGGACTGCAGGCAGGCCCCGGCAGAGCGGCTGGAGGCGCGGAGGCCCCCCCTGCTGGCTGGGCCTGGGCGCAGCTGAGCTGCCTGGAGAAGCTGACCTGCTGCGGCATGAGAGGCTGGAAGCTGGCAAGGAGAAATGGACCATGGCCCCTTAAGTCCTACCGAGCCCTTCCAAACTCAATTACTAAAATTCTATTTTAGATCCTCAAATATGCATTTGGGAATAAATTAAAATTTCTTCACGAGGAAAATAATTGAAAGCATCCCAGCTGTTCTGGGGCCTGGTGGCCAGGAGGAGCAATTCTGTGGGTGTGGCCATCAGCACTGAACAAGAGGCTTCCTGGGCTATGCGGCATCCGGAAGCATCCCCATTCTGCAGGGCAAGCTTGTCTTCTATTTACTTAACCAAATAAGCCTATGGGGAACCCCTGAAATTTAAACATAATTAAAACTATTATTTTGAGTGTGAAATCCTAAGGATTGAGAAAAGGTTTGACAGAATGCTAACTGTAGGCAATGAAGAGGGGTATTATGATTTGCAATACCCACGTTGGGATGCTGGGGTGCTCACCCATCCAAGCACTGCAGGGTACCTACCTGACATCCCTTCCCGTCTTCCCTGCTCACCAATAGGACCTTGATTTTCTCAGGTTGGCAGTGTGTCAGTTACATCAGTCATCTCACTGGACCTTTTGCGGCTAAAGCTGGCCCTGTAACTTAGTTCTGGCTTTTGTTTTTCTGATTAAAAAGGGATAGACCCAGAGGGTCATGCCTTTTGCCCTTCCCCCTCCTTCCTGCCTAGAGTGAGGTCGTGAGGCCTGGAGAGGAAGTATAAGGTTTGAAGCCACATAAGGATGGCAGCACGGAAGACGGAGGAGCCTGGGGCCTGGCACTAAGAGGCAGCTACCCAGATCCAGGCCCCGTGGAGGGGACATTCACTGGAAGGCAGGGATTCCCTAGGAATCGTTGGCCCTTAGCCCCTCACCTAAGAGCCTGGAGAGATGCCTTGGCAGGCCCAGCCCAATCACAGCCTTTGTGCAAATGAGGAAAAGATGCCCTGCTCTGGGGAGAGACAGCCCGACAGCAAACAGCTTGAGAAAAAAGCACCCCTCGGATTTCAGCCCTTCCCCTTCAGCCAGTGTCCATGTGCAAAACTACAGGCACAGACCTATATAGTGGCTCTGAGCCTGACATAGCCTGGTCCCCGTTCTCAAGAGAATTCAGTTTATACCCTGGACACACCCACACAGTCCCCTGTAAGTCAGGGAGAAGCCTCCAAGCATCCTGAGATAATGGAGACTCTAAACATTGTCAGAGTACTTCCACCCCCTTCGTGAAGGAATAAGAATTAATGTCTGAAACTGAATTATTTGATCTCTGGATTTTATCCAGGAAGTGTTTTAAATGCTGTTCTTCATAATTCAAACAGATTCCCCTGGACGCTATTGAGTGCCTTGGGGTCCATTTTTCCTGAGATACGGTAGTGGGTCACGTAGGGCTGTCCAGCTCCCTCACCCCTCTCCCGCCCTCCAGCAATAACCTAGAGAAGCACCTGCAAGACCAAAGTTCTCTGTGCCCGGGAGCACGTGTCCATGCCTAAGGACATCAGTTCTGATCCATTTCAATCATCTTTTTGGGTTCAAAGTCCTAGATCAGCAAGTGTGACTATATCCTTCACTATATCCTTCACGTGGTCCTGTGACAGAGTAACTGTCATCCATCCTCTTCCTCAAAGCCTCTCCTGCCCACCTATTCTTCTGTTCTCACCACCTGCACCCTGAGCCTCACCCCTGGTGCCCAGCTTCCCGCCACCAGCCTCCTGCTTCTAGCATCTTCTCCTCCCCAATCCACCCATCACGCTCTTGCTAACACTCTTTCTCTGTCACCCGGCTCCTTATTGCACTTCTTTGATCAGGAAGTCAGTGATTGTTCATTGTTTGAAGACAGAAAAATAAAAAACTGGTTGATGTTGCAAAGAGGATATAAAACAGAAATGAAAGAAGAAAGAGTGGTCCTTGTGAAGAAGATTAGGAAATGTTAAATGCCCTACTAAAGGCATTTAGAACAAAAGGGTAAGGTGATGGGACAAAGGTGGAGCAGGACTTGGGCAGATGAAGGAGGCATAACTTCTGGGCAGGAAATTGGAAAGTTGTTCTGCATTTGATAGGATACCAGACACATCCTCAAAAGCAACACCCAAATGAAGAAGCAAGAGACCAAAACCTCTTGACATATCAATATAGGGCCTACCTGTAGGAAATGACAACATTGTCTTGAGAGTAACAAAAGATGTGAATAAATGACAATAGACTTCCTGGATGGGAAGTCTAAATGTTATAAGGAGGCTCATTATCTCTCACTTAATAACACATTTAAATTATCTCTAATGAAAATCCAACAAGATTTGTCTTTGGAATTAAAAAATATTCCCAAGTTACTATGAAAGGCTACATGTATAAAAAATTGATAGAGTTACATGTAATGTTTACTCAATTAGCTATAAAAAACATTATAAAACTGATATAACTAAAATGTATGGCACCAGAATAGCTATAATGGTAGGACAGAATAGAATGATAGAACAAAAAAAGCTCTTATACAATGGTCCAGGGTATTCCAACAAAGACACCAAGATTATTGAGTCACAATTAATTATGAAAGCCTGATTTCTAATATGGAACTAAAGAAAGTAACTTGAAGTCAAAAAAAAGCAATATGATATGTAAACATCATGACACACTGGATTGACTGACATCTTCGTTCTTCAGAAGAGAAAAAGCAAGAGTACAGGCTTGGATAAGTTTGATGGGAGTCCATCATAGCCTCTTGGCTGACTGGAGACTCAAGACGTTGTTAGTGATGGTCCATGACAGCAAACCCTGAGGAGAAGAGGCCAAGTCTTCCAACAATCTCTTTCTGATTGGCTGAGTGTGTCTGCATATGTATTGGGCTGTTGGCTCTCTTTGATATAGATCCCATTTCCCTAACTGGGTATTTCCTGAGTGTCTGTGAGGTGCCTACTCCTGAGTGGGGCCATTTTCATGAACAAGGACTAAGAAATGCATAGCTGTGGAGGGCCAGGAAGCCCACAACACCAATGGCCAGTCCTGGGGCAACAGGAAATAAGGGTTACTGTCTTAAGTCTTTGACAAAAGGTCAAAGAGCCAAACTCTCTGCCCTCTTCCTCAGTGAGCCCCAAGAACTACTAGGGAAGAAAGAGTGTTGGAAGGAGGCTCCTGTGGGCCCAGCCTCCAGGCACCAGATTCTAGGCTAGCAGTTGGCTGGGAGTGAAAATGGGAACAACTGTCTCTGGGGTGAGATTGTCACCCCAGCAAAAGAGTACAGGAGAGGCTATGTGGGGAAGACCTCTGTGGAGCTGCTCCTGAACATGCCACTTTTCCACACATGTCCAGAAATGTTCAAGAGAAAAGAAGAACTCACTTCCTTAAGGAGGTTGGGGCGGGAGGGACCCTGGGAAGAATCCAGGCTCTGGTTTTGCTTCTACAAAGCCTAGTCTATGTGAACTCCCGAGCAGCATGAGGTCACAGCCCCTGGCATGTAGCACAGCCCTCCTCTGGAGCTCCAACAATCAGGGAGCCTCTGGGATACTCGTCATTACCCTTCCAGAAATATTGTCTCTGGAGAAAAGCTGCAGGCTTGGATGCCATGTAGGACTTCTGTTTGGTTTCGTTCTTGACTCAGCCAAGGGGACTGCAGGGAGAGGGGACGTGGGTGTG